AATGAGGCCGGCTTAGGATAATTGAAAACGAATTCACTTTCAGTAATCGGAGGCAGGTCAGGGGCCAGCGGGCACGCCCCCAGCTTCTTAAGTTTGGGAATTGTGCCGGACCAATGCTACGAGCTTCCGGATGTTTTGCTGGTCGGCTGAGAAAAAGGCAAATGGTATTTGGAGGAATAGACAAGGCTTTCAGCCTTTTCTTACTTATTTTTGATGCTGAGCCTTCCCGCGCCTTCCTGCACAAGCATTTGTTCTCCTGAGATCCAGGTTTAGGAGAAGATAGCCGCAGACAGAAGTAGCGGCTATTGCTATTTCATTCCCTCCAACTCTTTTAGCTCTGATAGTAAACATATTGATGCAATGCGGCCAGATGAAGAAGACTGGCGCCTACTAAAATAAAGGGGAGTAAATGATGAAGACTAAAAAAATGATTCATCACAAAGTTGCTTAAAAATTTCCTCTAGGCTAAAAGGGTGGACTTCACGGTGTTCAACCCTTTCGAAGAGATAGATAGCTCTACTACTCCCATTGTTGGGAGTCTCGAACCTTTTGACATACCATGCTTATCTTGAAAAGCTCACTGAGCTTCCATTGTCGTATCGTTTACGGGAAGCTGGGTACCGGGTGTATGTTCGCTTTCTCAGTAGCAAAAGCGCTTCTCTTTGCCCCTTAACCTTAAGTAGAAGGACAAGAAAGAGGGAGTTATCCTCCTCAAAATCCTTCCCCCCTTGGTCGAGTTGGCTTAAGCCCGAATCCATCCTTACGGAAGAAGGGCGCTCGTGGGGAGAGGAATGCGGGAAAGTGGGGTCCTCTCACCTGTGCTCACTTCCGTTTTAGAAGTCAGATTGGATTTCCAATACAAGCAAGCATTCCAGCGAAACGATCCTTTGACAATGGGCTTATTTGGATGCCTCGTATCGTATGATAAAGAAGAGAGTTTTTACAAAGCCCTAGAGCTAGAGCTTATTGAGAAAGTAGCTTTGAAGGGCAGTGTTCCAAAGCGCCTCATCTTGGCAGGAATTGCTTTAAAATTGGAGTCTATCTCCAGTAGGCACCGGAGTAGATCTACACTAAAAAAAAAAAACACCAGACATGAAAACAAATGTCTCACTGCTAGTGGACTGACTTTCTAGGCCTTCTCTCTTGCAAATGAACTAAAGGGATAACGGTCGAACTATCAAAGAGGTCTGCTACCAAAGAATTAGGAGTTATAACATTCATGGATAAAGCTCAGCATTTCTCTAATTTGAATCGAAAGTTGCTTTTTACTCCTCCGCGCGATTTTTTTTATGTTGAAACTTTATGTCAGCCAGGGGACCCTGATCCTTCCCAGTAAAACGTGGCGTGTTCGAATTCTGATCGCTTTTACGCAAGAAAGGGGGAAAGTCATCTTTGCAAACAAAGGCCTTCTTCTTATACTATGGCATCTTATCCAAAGCGAGCTTCACCGGATCGATACTAACTTACCTACTCCTGCTCCTACCGGATCCAAGAGGGCCGATGCCCGATTCCCCTTGAAGTTCCCCTTCTCCGGATTTACCCGGTGAGCACAACTCTTGCGTCAAAAAGATCGGTAAAGTCGAGAAGCAGAGAGAGGCCAAAGATTATATAAGAGCACAAGAGGCAGATTTGATTGGCTTGGTGGAAACCAAAGTGAGGAGTGGAAAGGTAGCCAGAATTACCAGATGCTTGGGAAAGAAGAACTGTTGCGCCGCGGGAAATCCTTCTCTATACAAGTTCTCGGACGAGGTTTTTGAACAGAACTTCGATAGGCGAGAGGTCCTCGCACATAATTAAGGGAGCCATTGAAAGGTGACTAAAACACCAGAAACGGGGACTACCCGAGCCCACCTCAAGCAGTAAAACAAAGTCGTTATGGCTATGTTACTAACATAGACAACTATGAATGGTATTCATTGACAGGAGTGACCGCTTTCTAGTCGTAGTTGGTACCGCCGTTTCAGATCAATTCTTCGCTGCAATCTTAATGAGAGGAAAGCCTTGACCTTCCCTTGTTCTACCCTTCGAACTCGGAGATTGAAGAAGATCACTCTATGCGTCATTTCTCAAGGTCAGAAATCTCAAATTTAGAATTTAAGCATGAAGTCATCGTTCCGTCATCCAACATGCAGGCTCCCAAAGCCTTAGACTGAGATAGTACCACACCGAGACTACACTAAAGAAAAAGGAAGCTTGACTGAGAAAAGAAGTCAAGGAACGAAGCTGCTTCACGTGGCGCTGTTGGATGCTTCTGATCAATAGAACACGAAGAGGAGGATTAATCGAATATATAAGATAAATAATGCAGGAGTTGTTGGAAGCTGTAATGCTAATTACATATATAAATGGAAGTAAGTCGCTTTTAAGACGCACGACTAGAAGAAAGAGATCTTTCTATTGATAGGAACAGTGAAATGCCCTCGATCGACTCGGGGCTAAAAGCCCTAATGAAGAAAAAGAATTGTCCTAAGATTGCCTACTTAATCCGGTACTTTCTTCTTCCCCAAAAACAGGAAGGTTTTATCCGGATTTCTTACTATCTTCGGTACTGCTTTTGTTTTGAGAAGCGTACTTTTGTTCGCTTCTTCTCCACCAAGCACGGAAGTTTAAGGATAACTATAGGTCGGTGGCTACCTAAGGAAACTCCGATTCTTCATAATAATAAGGTAAGCATCCAANATATATATATATATAGATTGATTTGATTATTGAGTTTACTGGTTGGTGAAGAAAGTGCTCTATCAACAAAGCAAATTTTCACTTATTAATCACCATACAAGTTGATGCTTCAATTTATATTTCACTCTTCTGCTATCACTACTAATATAATATAAATCTTAGTTTCATATTTGTTATATTTAAATCTATTGAATTAACGTTTTAGGGGCACACGGAGGAGGGAACACTATTGATCACCTAAGTTAGTTATGAAAATCCAACATCTCGGTGATTATGATACGGGTTCAAACCTAGATTTTTAGTCTTATTTCTCGTTACAAACATTTTTTTTCCTTTTTTCAGTTTTTTTTTTTTTGTTTTGAACTCAAATTTCAAAAGACTCTTTCTGATTATTTAGAACAATTCGCCTCACTCATTGCGCCTCTCGTTTGAATTGGAACATTTATGTGTTGATTAGCTTTCCTAATTAATCAATCAATCAATTAAAATTTAACTTTCTTTCCATTCATATTCAAAAGAATCTTATTTACTATCTTTTTATTTAAATAAAAAAAATATCTTCTTTCAATTTAAATTAAATACTATAACAAATATTATCCTAAATTGCGAAGTGGCTTTATATTAGCTTGCCATTTGGCTTAACCACAATACAAACTTTATTCCTTTAATATAGATATAGATACAGATATATATTAGTATAAATTTTTGTTGGGGTTTCAAGCTAATGATGAATCGTAACTATGATGGAATTGGGGATTAAAGAATTTTGATGAATTCCAGCATGTCTTTGCATCTGAACTATGCCACATTGTCCAATATTTTGCCCTTCAACTATGCATTAGTGGTGGAGATTAGTATTAATAGTTTGGTGTTAGCCAACAAGGAGAAATCTAACTCATTTTTGTTATTAACAAAGGCATGATCACAACTTTTATTGAAGAGCAAATCTAGACCATTCGCATAATTCAAGGAAGCAAATTCCATGTAATTCTTTTTATATCTCTTTTTCGAAGCTAGCTATTTTTGTTTAAAAAAACAATACTAGTTAACCGCTTTTAGTCATGTTGTTTAGAATATATACAACATTTGCAAATAATTTAAAAATAATCATAATTTAAAAATGCAGTTCAGTTATTGCAATTCAGACTTCAGGAAAATTGTGTAAAGTGGATGTAGAATGTGATGGTAACTACTTTTGGCTTCTTATTATGCGAACCATGGCAACATAATTGATGACAAATTATAGCGAGATTTATTTTATTCGAGTATATAAATGATGCAATCGCAAATTGTTTCTCTCGTCAAGACATTCTTTTAGTGAAGATATTTACCTTTTTATGCTTTAGGGAGTCCAGGGATTTATTAATTGTTGTGTTTTTGGCTTCGCATGTGATGCAGTTATCTTCCGAATTAAATGTTGCAGTTGCAATTGCAATTGCAAATACAACTAGTACTTTTTAACTTTTTGGCAAATAGCGGCTATATTCTAAACTGACAGCTCTAAGGGGACGTCCGGTATAAGAAAGATAATTCATGTTTAGATTTTGAATCATGTATAACTAATCTTTGTATAAAGTTATACATCAATTTTGGTATAAATTTATACCACTATTAATATGGAATAATTAATCCATATTTAACTTATACATGAATAAAGAAAAAAAGGACAAAATTATTCTTTTTTCCATAAGTCAATAAAAGTCAAGCATCCAAGGGTATAATTATAAACTCATTGCTTTTTAGTTTAAAAAATAAATAAATAATTTAAATAATATCTTATATATTCAATTTTAGTGGAATGAACCAAACACCCAATAGAAATAATTCATTTATTACTAATAATTTATGCCTTATTGATTTTTGCATAACTAATCTCTAAATTATAATCCCTGTATAACTAATCTTTGTACCAAACGATCCTTAGTGGGCGTTTGGACATAAGAATTGTAAAATTCCAAAAAAAGTAATTTTTTTTAAAGTGAAAATGATATTCGAAAATTAAAGTTGTGTTTGAACATGAATTTAATTTTGGGTTGTTTTTTTATTTTTGTGAGTGATCAGAGTGAAAATTTTGAAAAATAAATTTTTGGAGTTCTTTAAATTTTTGAAAAATTTTAATTTTTTATTTTATAATCTTCAAGCTAAAATTAAAAATAGAAAAAGTGAAAGAAAAAAAATTTGATGGCCAAACGGCCTCTTAGTTAAAATCTTCAGCTATCTTTTGCTTTTTATAATTTTGTGCAATGTCCTCTTTAACCCCTGTGGACACCTTTTTAAAAGTAAAAATAAAAACACTGCGCTGTTAACAAGTGTCAGTTAGGTAAGCGCTTTGAATTCTGAAGAGCACTGGAGTAGACGTTGCCACAGTTGAAGCCATCAGTTTTTTAGACTGATGTACAGTATATCACCCCTTTCGACTTCTACATCTTCACTTCAAATCCATCAAAACAATTAGAGATGATAGGACGAGCATTTGCAAATAGATCATCATTGCGAGCGATTCTGAAAAATGAAACAAAACTTTCTGAATTACGGTTTGGGAGGTGGATTTCAGTTTCGAGTAATGGTCCCGAAGAAGCAGAGCTGAGTGGGAAGCGATTCGCAGCCCTTTGGGGAAACGGGGATTACGGAAGGCTAGGGCAAGGGAGTCTTGAGTCGCAGTGGAGCCCTAAGGCTCTGCCTCCTTCTCTTTTCGATAATCAAAGCCTCCGTGAGATTGCTTGTGGCGGTGCTCATACTCTCTTCCTTACAGGTTCTTTAAATGTTCTCTAACTTGATCATATGCAGTTGGGATTCTTAGAAGAAAATGTAATTTTACTCCCTCCGTCCATTTTATGTGGCCTTGTTTGAATGGGCAGCCATAGACATTTATTTGGTTGCTAACAAAGTTGTTCTGGGATTATTATCCTACACCCAATGTGGGACTAATAAAAGATTTTGGTACAAAATTTATACCAATATTAGTTAATTACCCATAACCAAGTACTAGATAAACGTAATGTCAAATTCTATTCCTAGATTAGTATCCTTATCCCTGTAATTAAACGACCCCTAATAAGGGTAAAATGGAAATTTGGAAGTTATAATTATTTCTAATATAAAAATGTGTCATTCTTTTCTGCGATAAATAAACTAAAAAAGAAAGTGAGCTACATAAATTGGGCCAAAGAGAGCAGATTTTTTCTACCGAGGGGCTTTGGGCTCCCAAGGCTGTGAAAACTCCACACGGAGTAGCTGTACAACAACAACAACATACCCAGTAAAATCCCACAAGTGGGATCTGGGGAGAGTAGAGTGTACGCAGACCTTACTCCTACCCCGAAAAGGGTAAAAAGGCTGTTTCCGGGAGACTCTCGGCTCAACAGAAGAGACAATAATATTAGAAGAGAAACAAAAGAAAATGCTTGTAACAACAAACGATGTGAGAAAGATAAATAACAGCAACGAATAAGTGAAAGGACAATAACACAAAACTATGCAAAACAACAATATGAACACAACATAGACCGCTAACAAACCTAAATAAAACTCTATCAGACTACCCGGTACAAAGAGAGAAGAACTCTCGACTACCTCCTAGCCTACCACCCTAATGCTCGACCTCCACATGTTCATATCAAGAGCCATGTCCTCGGAAATCTGAAGTTGCGCCATGTCCTGCATGATCACCTCGCCCCAATACTTCTTAGGCAGCCCTCTGCCTCTTCTCGTCTCTGTCAAAGCCAACCGCTCACACCTCCTAACCGGGGCATCTATGGTTCTCCTCCGCACGTGCCCGAACCACCTAAGCCTCGCTTCCCGCATCTTGTCGTCCACGGGGCAACGCCCACCCTTTCTCGAATATCTTCATTCCTTATCTTATCCAGTTTAGTATGCCCGCACATCCATCTCAACATACTCATTTCGGCTACTTTCATCTTCTGGATATGTGAATTCTTCATTGGCCAACACTCAACCCCATACAACATAGCCGGTCTAACCACCGCTCTGCAAAACTTACCTTTGAGTTTCGGTGACATCTTCTTGTCACACAAGACTCCAGACGCTAACCGCTATTTCATCCACTCCACCCCAATACGATGCGTGACATCCTCGTCCATCTCCCTGTATGATTGACCCTAGGTACTTGAAACTTTCTCTCTTGGGGATGACTTGTGAGTCGAGCCTCACTACCATGTCCGCTTCCCCGTCACGCTGCTGAACTTACACTCCAGACACAGAGTAGCTGTATGGAGACAAATAGCTT